ATTAGAAACTGGGTAAGACTTTGTGAAAAAAACAAAATTTTCACCACATATTTATGTTAACTTGCGAAATTTTTTTGAAATAGATGACACGAGTACAACAATCTCTGCGATATCTTTCTTCATGTCCTCAACTTGTTCCTTGATTTCAGTCAAATCAGTGGCCATGTCGTCATGTTTCTGAGAAAGCAATTCAATCTCCTCCAAGAGGGCCTCATCTGCCCATTTGAACAAATGATTCTCACCAAAAACTACTCCACATCTGTAGAATCTTCTACCGGGATTGTCCTTGGTTTTAGAAGTTAGGACAACTGTGGATGCGCCGCAGGGACACCTGCGTGGTATACCCTGCCCCAAACCTAGGTTCATATGTTCAACCTGCAAGATTATATAGATGGGGGGAATAAAAATTGGAGGGTGAGATGAGGTAAGCAATTGGACGAAGGGGTTGTCAAATAAACCTGGATGAAGTCTACGTTGTTTCCCTCAGAAAGAAGCCGCCAATAGAGGTTGTTTCACTAAAAAAATAGCCGCAAATGAGAAGAAAGACTTAAGGGGCCACCTTATATAAACCCTCTAGACCTAATTGTACAGTTAAAAGGTGGGACATATAGAGAACGAGGTCCACACAAATTTTTTGTGGATTTTGGTCTACAATTATGACCTAGAGTACAGTTAGAAGTTAGGATAAATATGTCGTTGGACGGTTAAATTAAATACACTACAATTGTCAACATTCATACATAGATTCAAATATTGTTCGGGCAAAGTAACCAAATTAACCTTAAGCTGATAACATCAATATGTTAAAAGAGAGAAGACAACATAACATCAATGGGTAAATCACAGGAGACCAATTGTATCTTCATAGAGGGATACGAGAAGACGCTCAATGTGGCTATCAAGGACATCAGGGGTAATACATTTGCAAGCTTCAACCCCACCTACACCATGGCCTTGGATGAGCAGCACCGATGACAGAGCAGAATGGCTAACTTCTTTTTGCTGTGGAATGCACCGGGGCCTTTCAATTGCCATTGGTTTCCCCTCTCTCACACCCACGTTTCTACCGACATACTTGAGAAGATATGGAAACATAAGGGCAATGGGTCTTATATCCTTGTTCATCATGTAATCTGTTCGAAGGCTACTGTTGCAGTCCAAAACAGTGACCACCCAGCTAGAGCAATCGACACATATGCCTACCCAGTAATTCCCA